TATATATCTGGACATGAATCATATGAGACATGCCTCTTAGGAGACTACAACTTCCCTATGATTGATTGGAAATCCGGTGCAATTCTGTCTGGTGCATCGTCTGCTACAAATCAGTCGGCAGTTCTTCTCTTTGACTTCATGGCAGACAACTTCCTCAGTCAGTATATTCTGGAACCTACTAGGCTGAACAACTGCCTTGATCTTTTTCTCTCCAATGCTCCTAATCTTGTGACACACGTTTCGGTGACTGATACACCTTTGTCTGACCACAAGCTTCTTGAGATCTTTCTGTCACATAATCCATGTCGGTCAGATCCTTCCGTACCCCCAGATTTCAGTGTTCCTTCGTTTCGGTCACTGGACTTCTACAAAGCAGATTATGACAAAATCAATCATCTCCTTGATTCTGTTAACTGGAGTGAACTATGGGAACTTTGTGATCCTGAAGAATTTCCTGAACTGTTGAACCTTGTCCTTCTTCAGATATGTGAGATGGGGTGCCCAAGGAAAAAGGCATCTAGCAAAAGGCGAGGTTCACCGGTTAATACATTGTCTCGCAAGAAACGCAAATTAAAACTTCGGTTGCATTTGGCTGAACAAAACCCAGTCGCTACAACAGCTCACTTGGAGTCACTTAGAAACCAGATTTCGAGTGTGTACGCTGACATGCGAGACGCTATAAACCACGACCTTAACTACCGTGAACAACAGGCGGTAGATAAAGTGCACAGCAATCCAAAATATTTCTACAGCTATGCTAAAAAGTTCTCCAAGCAGAAACGCAGTATTCCAATGCTTTTCAATGAAGCCAAGAGAACTTGCACCAATCCTGAAGAGATTGCTAACATCCTCCAGCGTCAATTCAGCAGTGTATTCAGTGACCCTTCAGCCACCAACATCAATGATGCATTATTTCAGTCACCTTCTCTACAGAAGCCATTCATTGATGACATGTTGGCATTCTCGGTTGCTGATATAATGGAGGCTATTGATGAAATTAAGCCGGGTGCCGCTGCTGGGCCTGATGATCTTCCAGTCCTGCTTCTGAAGAAGTGCAAAGAAGCACTCTCCAAACCTATACACATGATTTGGCAGCATTCTATGTCTACAGGCACAGTGCCGAAGTTCTACAAGACATCAAACATTGCTCCACTTCACAAAAAAGGCAGTCGTGCTATTGCGGGAAACTACAGACCTGTGTCGTTAACTTCTCATGTCATTAAGATCTATGAGCGAGTTCTATGAAAACAGATGGTGGCCCACCTCGAAGAAAACAACCTTCTCAATAGCAAACAGCATGGCTTCCGATCGGGGAAAAGTTGTCTCACTCAGCTGCTTCATCATTTTGATGACATCATCGAGGCGTTATCAAATGGTGACGACATGGACGCTATATACTTGGATTATGCCAAGGCCTTTGATAAAGTAGATCATCAACTTCTTATCAAAAAACTGCAGCTATATGGTTTTCATCCCAAAATCATCATCTGGATCGAGTCATTTCTTACAAATAGAACTCAACAAGTTGTTGTAGATGGTCACATGTCTATCATTGCTCTTATTATGAGTGGTGTCCCCCAAGGAACAGTTTTAGGTCCCATACTGTTTTTAATATTCATTAATGACATTGCTAGCTGCGTGTTGCATTCAACGTTAAGATGTTTCGCTGACGACACAAGAATTTGCAGATCCATCAGTGATTCACATAATGTTACTGAGCTTCAGTCTGATCTTGACAAAGTCACTGAGTGGTCATCAAGAAACAACATGGCACTACATGAGGATAAGTTTGAGTACATATGCCATCTTACCAACAAACGTAATCCTCTCTATGAGCTTCCTTTTGTCCATGAACAGTTCCAATACAGAACATCAACTGGTACTATACTCAGTCCTGTGGATCAGCTCCGTGATCTCGGTATAACAGTATCCAGTGATACGTCCTGGACATCACACATACGATCTAGTTGTGATAAAGCGAGGAAGATGGCAGCATGGGTATTCAGTGTCTTCCACTCTCGCAATACTGGTGTTATGTTAACACTATACAAGTCACTAGTCCGTAGCCACTTAGAGTATTGCTCTCCTCTGTGGAATCCGGCGAAAGTGTATGAAATTCAGGAGCTTGAAAGTGTACAAAGAACTTTCACTTCAAAGATCCATGGTTTACAGCATCTCCATTATTGGGATCGCCTAAAAACCCTGTCCCTCATGTCACTTCAGAGGCGCAGAGAACGTTACATTGTCATGCACATGTGGAAAATCCTACATGGTTTCACATCCAACGACCTTGAAGTACAGTTCACAGTAAATCCACGATTGGGTACCCTTGCTAAGGTTCCAGCTGTCCGTACAAAAAGCTCAGCTGCTCACCAGACTCTATATGAAACATCATTTGGTGTAATGGGTCCCAGACTCTGGAACTGTATACCTTCGCACATACGTGCAGTCTCCAAACATGATGGCTTCAAGCATCATATGACGGCATTCATGCTTTCCTTGCCGGATAAACCGCCAATCCGGGGCTTCACATCACCGAACTCCAATTCTATACTGGACTGGCGTAACGATCGAGAGGCATCTTCTCTCTGGGGTGGTCAGCAACTCTGATGGCCTGTCGAGTTTCGACGAAGCAGATCAAAGGTATCAAAGGTAAGGTATCGTCACAAAATGATACGACATCATAAATAGGTTACATTTTGCGGGGAAAATCTATATAAGGACGATACACGGATACAGTTTATTCAAGTATAGGGCAGTTGTTGTAAACATCCTCACAAAATGATACGACATCGTAAATAGGTTACATTTTGCGGGAAAACTCTATATAAGGACGATACACGGATACAGTTGATTCAAGTATAGGGCAGTTGATGTAAACATCGTCACAAAATGATACGACAACAATACAATGATACATTACAACAATGCGACTCATAAATAATACTCCAATCCGGATTTTACATGATACGACATCATAAATAGGTTAAATTTGGAAGCAATGATTATAGAATGAAATAGTCTGTGATTAACATATTACATACATTATTAAATGGGCAGGGGTTTTTATATTTCCTGTATCTCTGTATTAATCATTTCGGACTGTAATTAGGACTGTTCACGTGAAAGAAATTGTATCTAAATTTTACAATGACGTACTCGTATGTGACGAAATTTACATTTCTTGACCCTATTTTGAAGAACCATACCTCGGTTAGAATTCAATGTTCTTCCAGGAATTATAGGTTGGTTATTGTTTAGCAAAATAGAACTCAAGTTTAACAATGCTGAGTTTAATTTTACTAAGTTACTGAAATGTGACGAAATTTACTTTTCCTGCCCCAACAGTATAATTTCAATGTGATGAAAAATTGGCATGGGTTTCTACATTTCTTGTATAAATCCATTCCGACTATAATAAGGACTATTGGTAGGAAATAAAATATATCTAAATTTTAAAATTACGTATGTGACGAAATTTACATTTCTTGCCCCTATTTTAAAGAACCATACCTCAGTTAAAATTCAATTTTCTTCCAGGAATTATTGGTTGGTTATTTTTCAGCAAATCAGAACCCAAGTTTAACAATGCTGAGTTTGATATCACTAATTTACCGAAATGTGACGAAATTTACTTTTCCTGCCCCAACAGTATAATTTCAATGTGATGAAAAATGGGCATGGGTTTCTATATTTCCTGTATAAATCCATTCTAGCTATAATAAGGGCAGTTGATATGAAAGAAAATCTATCTAACTAATGCTATGGCTGATGTGACGAAATTTACATTTCTTGCCCCTATTTTGAAGAATCATACCTCAATTAGTATATAATGTTACTTTATCACCATCACTATGTCGATAAATTAGTTATTTTGCCAACACGGAGCAAATAAAGTTATAATATTTTTTTGTGACGAAATTTACAAATTTTTACCCTGTTCAGGTGTTGAAATTTTGCCAATGTTAACATATCACTGCCATATAATAATTTATATGACCGGCGTATGGTTGAAATATTGTTAATTGATCCATAGTACGTAATATAGGGTGTTTAAGTTGGTATACTAATATTTACTCAATTTCACACATGTTGAGATATCATACAAATTTATGTGACTAAATTTACCTATTTCTGCCTTCTGTATTTGTATTTGCCTATAACAATGAAATATGTGAACAATTCCAAACACATTCAGCTCACAAAATAATGCTAGACTATTCGGCATTTCTTGTCAGGATGTCATAAACATCCCTCATATAAATTTCTTAAATGTGTGACGGAGTTTACATGGTGCTACCATTTAACGAAAAAAGTAGCTAAATATGTAGATAATAGTCATATGCAACTATCCTATAAATTTGAAATTCGAAAATTTGGTCAAACACGGCAACAAGGGGTCCATATAAACTCTGTCACATTTTTATAGTGTGACAAAGTTTACAACTCACTGCCGGCCGCATTTAAGCGATATCTTATCGTCTGATAAAGATATCGTTATGCGACAAAGTTTATCTAGAGGATGAAACGATTATCCTTACCATTGAGGGTTTATATAGTTTTATAGTGTGACACATTTTACATCATCGTGCCATTTAGTAGGGTCACTAATATTTACCAATATCCTCAAACTTCAATGAACGTGTCCATATATATATATAGGTACCTATATATAGGTACTACTAGAGTATTTATACTAATAATATAAAACGTCTCAAGTTAGCTTTATTTGGGAATGAAAATGATATTTATAACAGGCACCAGGTGGTTTATTTATAGTAATGAATGGTTTGCTCCAATTTTAAAGTTTACGTGGGCGACAAATAAGCTGTCGCCATATTACCATAAATACTAAATAGTATTAATAAGTATTATAGGCGTTCTTTACCTTTTATTAGCTATTTTCATAGTACTGTATAAGTTTAAAAATACTAACGTCAATCTTAGTAATTATCCTGACTTTACATATATAATCAAGAGACCAAGTTATGATTGTTCAGGCAAAGTCGCTGTACAAAGAGATAGGATCTTCTAATGGGACCGTTAACTCTGATGACTCCGATAACGAGATTATTAATTCCGCTGCTACTCTGAGGAAAAGGAAGAAGAAGGTAGATATTTACTTACTGAGTTACTGCTTACTACTTACTTCTACTTATATTTACTGCTGTTACTTACTAGTTACTACTACTTAGTTACTATTACTTACTACTTACTTATTAGTTACTACTACTTAGTTACTACTACTTATACTGCTTATACTGCTGCACAAATTCCTGGTTTCTAGTCTTACGAATGAACGAAAGTAACTGATTATCAACGCATTTCTTAAACCGTTCTGACGTGCGAATAGGCATGCTCATCGTTCACTTCAATATTACTCACATTCAGAAGAAGCTGTGAACTTTCACAGCCTATGCGGGTGAGAAATTGAATAATGAATTGAAATAACTTAAATAATTAAAATTCCTGATAATTTGTTAAATGTAAACGTTTTGTAATTTTTACAGAACGGCCCCACTTTGGATGATAATCTGAACATGCCGACTTTCTTTGCGTCCTACGTCGACGAAAAGGACGGCGCAAGTAAGTTACATTAAAATTTAGGTACAAAATAAGATCACAATTTATTAGAATTTGCTTTATGTTTTGGATTTAATATTTAATGAGAAGTTTTACTTTTTAATTGGATTTGGCCCAAAAGAACCGATTCGTTTGGCGAGTGGAATGCTGCAGAGTCTTATTATAATTATAAAGCCTTCTCGCCTATTTCAACAAGAATTACTGTATAGTGTATAACGCTGGTGATAGAAATAATATTTCCATGCTATGACGTAGCTATGACGTAGCTATGACGTAAGAATACACGCACAGTTATAATTTAGTTCTAATTTACTTTAAATGAATCTGAATGTCCAGGTTGCCCGTCACACTGTGACGTACAGCTGCTGTACAGGCTCACAGTCGACCTAGTAGTAATTATCACGCCTAGTAACTGTAATAATGATGTGATGTAGTACACACAATATTTACACGCTTCACTTAGTTTCCTAGATCTGGTAACAGTAATATTTAAACAGCCCATTTAGTTTCCTTCACCTTGACTGTGTACACCATTTAGTTTCCTTCATCCTTCAATGTTAACCTACAAATTTTCTGTTTAATACAGCGTATTATTGAGGCTGTTATCCATTATTATATATTATCTAATTGTGTAAAATAATAACCTTGCCCTGATCTTACATTAAGGAAGCATAATATTAATATTTACAGTAACACAAACCATCTTGGTCACGCTCTCGGTTCTCATGTGAAACAAACACGAAGCTAACGTGTACGAAATAGCATTTATAGTGAACTATATTTATTGTGCTGTAATAAAGTATTTTAATTTTAAATGCCAACTTTAAACTCTTATTTGTCGTGGTAACCTCTTAAGAAGTTAGTGTGGTTAGTTATGAAGGAGTACATTATGTCACTAGTTAGTGAACTGTGAAGTACATTATGACACTAGTTAAGGAAGTACATTATGACACGTAATTTGCTGTACTTGTAAATATTTTAATTATTGCACAACGCGTCCAGTTACAAGTAATAGTTAAATGCGAAACAAGTAAATATAGTTTCCTATTTCATTACATAACCATCCTAATACATAGTTAGTTAATTAACTAATACATAGTTGACCCCGGTCATTAGGAAAGTTCGCGAGATGGACCACGTTTTTTCCCTATTTAACTTTAGAAGATTGTTACAGGAAGAACTTTTAAGATAGGCATATTGATGCTTAATTTCATACAAACAAGTTGAACCAAATTCTTTATGTCATGTATTCTGGGTTTGGACAGGATATGCCCGCTTAAAATACTTCCATCGCGTTTCACACATGTCTGTACTTCTATAGTTCAACTAATTGAGTTTCGATCAGTAAAATTTTTGAAGCATTTAGTCGAGGGCAAATTGGGGCTAACGAGTCATTTTACATTTCGTTTTCTAATGACAGCTTCCAAGCATGCAATAAAAGTTTAAGCGATTTTCTATACGCATACCAAAAATCAAATGCGTAACTAAAACAGAAATGAAATTACAGAAGTTTTTAATTTTTGTCAAAAAACGAACTTTTAGGGGTCTTTATAATGACCAGGGTCAGTAAGTTAATTAAACACATAACTGCATATTGTATATACATATTATCTGGTACTAAGTGCATATATTTCCCCTAAAATGTGCATGTAATGGGAATTTGGAGTATCATGAAACCTGAGTATGACTATACAGTGTATAGTATAGTATACACATTGTATACACATTGTATACACATTTTATACACATTGTATCAGAGTGCAGAGTTTAGAGTTTCACGAGAAATTTACTGTATCATTTATCAAGTAGTTGCTGCTGGGATATGTTATTTAATATAATTATCACAAAATAGTGAATATGTCTCATATCAGATCACAAAACACATCGCAGAATACGTTACATATTACTATAATATTGATAATTATATATCTCAACTAGTTCCCAGACCTGAAGTAATGTTTACTATAAAACATAATATTATATTGTATCTCAGTGTACACTGTACTGAAGTAGTATGTTAATCCTTACTGTTAAACATGAAATACGGCTTTTCTGTGAGGCAGTGTTCTATTTTTATACTTTTATATACGGTGCTTAATTTAACAATATTATTAACAATATATATCTGAGGAGAATATTGTATTATTATATATAGTAACGAGTTTATTCGAGGAGGATATCGGTCTACACGGTCGTGACTATTGTGGCTCTACAGTCTACATAGTTTTATATATAGTGTTTTGACAAATTGTAAAGTCGTTGAAACCGCGCTATATTTACTGTGTCTTTATTTACTGTCCATTATAGACACTATCGTGTACCCCCACTACATAGCACTCACTGAACACACACACACTTACAACATAGACACTATCGTGGGGGGCCGGGGGGTTCGTGGTCAGTCTTCAAATTAAATACTCCCCCAATGGGCTGGAGGTCATTAAGTACCTGATACCATTTAGCTCTTGGGTGCTTCAAAATCGCATAATATAGTAAAATAATACACGGTGTATTATATATTTGTCAAGAGAAACCCTAACTCTATTCTATAACTAAGGAAATACCTGTAGAGTAATGCCAATAATTTCAATTGTTCAATTAATAAAAGTTAAATACTCTAGATAATGTCCTTCAAATACTCCTGAACTCAAAAACCAATACTGCACCTCCAAGGTGGACCCACAGTACACAGTATTCTGGTTATTGTATTGTACTTAAACTAACCTTACCTTCACTAACACACGGTACTGCGTACACTAGGTACACTAGTACGTGACACTAGCTGCCACTTGCCAGGTTCACTTAATTGCCACCAACCACTTACACTCACATACCAGATACCACACATTACACACTACATAGCACTCACTAAACACAAAAACACACAGACACACTTACAACTTACTAGTGCGCTAAATACCCACACCTACAGTAAACATTGTATAATTACTAAACCCAGGCAGAATGCTAAATCCCTAGCGCTGATGTAACACTCACTAACGCTGATGTAGCACTCACTAGCGCTGAAATCCCTAGCGCTGATGTAGCGCTCACTAGCGCTGCTGAGCACTCACTAGTGCTGCTGAGCACTCACTAGCGCTGATGTAGCACTCACTAGCGCTGATGTAGCACTCACTAGCGCTGATGTAGCACTCACTAGCGCTGATGTAGCACTCACTAGCGCTGATGTAGCACTCACTAACGCTGATTTATCACTCACTAGCGCTGATGTAGCACTCACTAACGCTGATGTAGCACTCACTAGCGCTGAAATCCCTAGCGCTGATGTAGCACTCACTAGTGCTGCTGAGCACTCACTAGCGCTGATGTAGCGCTCACTAGCGCTGATGTAGCACTCACTAGCGCTGATGTAGCACTCACTAGCGCTGATGTAGCACTCACTAGCGCTGATGTAGCACTCACTAACGCTGATGTAGCACTCACTAGCGCTGATGTAGCACTCACCAGCGCTGATGTAGCACTCACCAGCGCTGATGTAGCACTCACTAGCGCTGATGTAGCACTCACTAGCGCTGATGTAGCACTCACTAGCGCTGATGTATTACTCACTAGCGCTGATGCAGCACTCACTAGCGCTGATGCAGCACTCACTAACGCTGATGCAGCACTCACTAACGCTGATGTAGCACTCACTAGCGCTGATGTAGCACTCACTAGCGCTGATGTAGCACTCACTAGCGCTGATGTAGCACTCACTAGCGCTGATGTAGCACTCACTAGCGCTGATGCAGCACTCACTAGCGCTGATGTAGCACTCACTAGCGCTGATACACGCAGCTACCAATAAGTGTCTGATCGTACAAAACGTCCGTACTGACGTCACGTAGCACTTACACTTACACTATTAACCTGCTGCCGCACTTTGGTACATGTACCAAAGTGCGGCAGAAAGGCCATTGGTATACATATACCAATCACTAACCACATACTCAGTTCATTACAAGCTCACTGTATTGACCCTGCTACCAATGTTGCGCTGATAAGGGCGGAGTCTGAAAGGTTATTCAAGATTATTATTTAAGATTCTGTGAACGGCTGGCAGTTGTGCTAATTTAGCCAGCACTCACAACTTTGTACACTACTAGTGTACCCAGAGTGCTAACTCCACACACAATTATTACATAATAATACAACTGCCAGTACAGTACACATTTTACAGTGTCCTAATTGTAGGAACTAGTAGTAGCCTTCTCTCTACTCCTCTACTTGAGCAACACGTGTGAAATCGTGTGTACGTGTGCAGTACGTGTGTACGTGCGTACGTATGTACGGGTGTACATGCGGTCTGTGCTCTCCGTGGATTTTAGTATAGTCAGAACTGTATTCACTGAGACTCATAATATACAGTTCCGATTATTATAAAATCCACGGAGAGCACTGAGTCTCAGTGAATAATCTTGCATCTAAATATATTATTCTAATTGTGATTACTAATTAACATAATATTGTAATTGTGACTAACAGTACACCCCAGTCAAAATTACTTTTGTTAGTAACACAAGTAATTTTGACTGGGATAGACATTCAGCTCTAGATTAAATCATACCTGTCTCTCTTACACGGTGTAGTCAGTAAATTATAGACACTTTTAGTGAAACTAGTTTTAAACTCAAGAGCGCCTAACCACAGTAACTCTAACCTTAACAAACACTCCTGATTCCTGAACTCCTCAATCATTGTTCAACTCCTTATTGTGAAGGAGTCCTCAACCATTGTACAGCTCCTCATTGTTCAACTCCTTATTATGAAGGAGTTCTCATAGTTCATCACGTGACTAAACCAGCTCCTCACTCGAAATCAGTGTCCAAACTACGGCTACTCAAGTGTTCTGATATTGAGATGATTATTGAGCTCAGTACTAGTAGAGCGTGGGAGCCGCCTCTGTGTGTGATGAGACATTAGAGAGTGTGTGAGGGGTCACAAACACACCACTCATCTCAAAGTGTTCTATAAATGTGTTCTGTAAAATATACTGAATGTAGGAAAACAATATCACGGGAGATATTGCTGAGAGTTGGCAGTGTAAGCTATACAGTATGCAGTGAGTGTGTGTAATGTACTAACGTTCTCAGTGTCTCAATACACTTGCTAATCTTTCTAGGAGTAAGACTAAGGGTTATTCGGCAATAAAGTCAGATTACATTTCAAAGCAAACCCGGTCCTATTTGTTGCAATACCTACATCACCAAGGTTTACAAAGGTCTATAAACACCAAGGTTTATAAAGGTCTATAAACACCAAGCTTTATAAAGGTCTATAAACACCAAGGTTTATAGCCCCACCTGTTGTGTTCTACGTTTGAGTGCGTGGGGCTATAATCTATTCACCCCCAATTTGGTATTATGGAGATCATTTTAACCTTTGTAAGTGTGTATTATTGTAGCGGGAAGCGTCAGAGGCGTGGAGATATTGAATACCTTTATGATTTTATCTATTGGAACTTATTTTCGATGATCTTTGTGATGAAAAAACTTATCAAACAATTTTCTACAATGTGAAAAACTAAAGCTTAAGGGTTATCCTAGAAAATTGGCTATTTGCCCCTAATTATTGAAGCAATAACTGTCACAATACCATTTTGTCTTACACACGAAGTAACGACCGCTGTAATGAGTTTTACAAATAAATACCCACAGCCAAGACTAAATTGCAAGTAATACTGCCCTTCTGAAAAGTTAAATTTGTATGTATAATTATTCACTAGTAATGTATAACTGTATAATTATTCACTAGTAATGTATAATTATTCACTAGTAATGTATAATTATTCACTAGTAATGTATAATTATTCACTAATTATGTATAATTACACAGGTTGTAACTACGCCGCGCAGCTGCAGGACGCTAAGATAGACAATGTGATCAGATCCAACTCAGGAGACCTGATCCGGCACAACAGAGAGAACTTCTCCATCATCCAGCCCCAGACCTTCTACAACAACATCGTGTCTCCGCTAGGACAGTGGCAGTGTGGCTGCCAGTTTGGTGAGTTTGACTGCTTTATTTGATAGACGATAACCTGCAGCTGCACGGGGGGGGGGGGGGGGGGGGGTGGGGGGGGTGGCCTGAGGTGCTTATCTCCTTTTCAGTTACCCTAATAAGGCACTATACACGCTGTAGGGGGGTTAGTCCTACGAGCCAGAGAGTGTGTATCACCAGCCGAAGCTGTACCAAATCACAGCTTGGTAACTGGCTTACTGGCCGACTTGCATCCGACCGGATTAGAACCCGGGCGGCCCGGGTCGGGCCTTCTGTTACCACTACACCACCCAGCTCTGTTGGAAGGTTATTATAAACAAGCAGCATTAAGAAATTAAGCTTGTCTTGATTTAACCACATAGCCCGTGGTTCTGTTCATAATGTTATACCATCATGTCCTGTTCATAATAATGAAAATAAAATATTGAATACCACCAAATAAGCTGCTAATATGAGTAAATATTGATTATTGTCTGTTCTGTTTACTGGTTAATATTATATATGTATGGTTTATATGTTTAATTTGAGGCAGACTGGTTTGATAGAGTTAGTGACGCATAGATCTCATATTTAAACCCTGTAAAGTTAATCACGTGGTTCCAAGACAGCTCCTGGCTGCTTTGGTTCCAAATCTGCACGTGCTAAAGCTCGTTTTAGCACGTGCGAGATAACGCGCGCTCAATCTTGTTTTCTACCAGGACCCTGTCATATAATACATAATATAATATCATGTAATGGTGTTCTCAGTAAAGTTTATTATAAAAACCAACTGTCTATGGTATAAATTATATTATGTCTGGAGATATTGACTCTTTTCAAGGCACCCCGTACATCTGTCAACATCGCATTAATACTTTATTAAGCGTGTTCTCCGTGTACGTAGACATAAGTTTAGTCACGTGACCATATAGTCACGTGACCATATAGACACGTGACTAGTTTAGTGGACCTCATTCATCAGAGTCCTATTGAAGAAGGTAATAATATGTCACAATCACTACTTGTGTGAGTGACAGGGTACAACATTATAACTGTCTATTGCGGGAGTTGTATAGTAGCATAGGGGCTATTACTCTATTACACTAAGATATACGGGAATAGAAACAGGTAAATCGGGGTTTTGATTGCGGTAAATGGTCGCGGTAAATCGGAGTATGTGACGGTAAATCAGAGTATGTGACGGTGGTATATTATAATATGGATAATGATGGCTCTGTTACAGTTAACAAGGCGTCAGATCACTCTGTTTATTATAATCAGTCTATGAGAGATCTCTATGAAAAAGTGAAGCTTTTATCCTCTGTCATAGACCTACTTGTCCGGAAAGTAATTCCATTTGTGAAGATGTAGCGAGCTACTATCTGATGCTTTAAGGAAACAGTTTTATAGAAATATCAGAGAATTTGTTCGTGTGGCTTGCGCTTCATGATCCTACCAGTTTCCATCAAGTATTATTATATATAATATTGTTAACTAGCAGGGTACGGTAGTGGGACTATTATAATTATTTATATATATACCGTATAACTACCACAGTTTAGTCTGGAAATAAATTCCGTGGAACTTACCTGGTGTTCTGGTATTCTGGGCTGTGGAGCAGTTGTAATTATAATTATATATTTAAATTAAATATTATAATGTAATAATGAACTTTGCATAACTGACAGATGTGACTGTTATTTTAATTTGTCTATAACTTGATAGATGGGTTAATATAACTTGTCTTCTTATGGTCATGAACTGAGAAAAAAACTACCATGACATATTATTATCGTAAAATTAGCTGTTATTATCAAATATAAGTACATTTCAAATATAAGTACATTTCAAATATAAGATTTGGTTAGTAACTAAAATTGAGAGTTGTCTTGATTTAACGAGATAATTTTCAGTGTCAGTTTACAACGCGCAACAGGATTTCACAACCATGCTCAACCGGTGCATGTTCATGCAGGTCAGTTACTTTTATTATTATTTATTAACTTATAGTTTTATAATTTTTATAATTATACAGAGTCAGCTCAGTGGAAAGATGAGCGGAGGGTGATTTTGAATTGTATCTAGTGAATCAGAGTTAAAAGTAACAAAAGATTGATTATTTATATAATAGTTGGTACGGGTATATGCCTCACAGAATGGCCAAAAAAAGGAAGGTCTCTCAAAATCACAAACCACACTTTATTCCATTTTTTATCTCATAAGAAGCTAAGTTGACACTCATATTTTTCTTCCCAGGGGTTGATTTAATCTCATAACCATTTTTTCTTTGAGAAAAATTGGCCGGAAAATCTTCCTCCAAAAAAACATGCCTCACAGAATGGCCAAATCTGAATTTCTATAATTTTGTGATGGAGATACTTTTTAAATTTATACCACCACACGTTGTTAGAAAACCTATTAAGGAATGGGGTAATAACCTAAAACTCACGAAAAAACTGAGCTGTGAAAAATTATTTCACAAAAAAAAAATGCCTCACAAAATGGCCAAAAAAAAAAGAAAACGAGAAACTTTTATTTTTCTAAAACCTTTGGCTCTTGTTTCAGGCATGCTGCTGGTATAAATAAGCCTTGTTAACACCCCCATATAGGTGAAATTTCTTAGAACTGAATAAAAAGGGCATAATTTCCTACACCAAAAATGGCCATTTTGTGTGGCGTTGTTCATATTCCCTGATTTCATGATTTATAACCTTCATTCGGCTGTAAAAACACTCCATCTGGGGTGTTATTGTATGATAAATAGCTTGTGAATACTTTAGACTTATTGTTTCATTGAATAAAAGGAGTTTTAAATTTTGGCCATTTTGTGAGGCATATTTTGGCCATTTTGTTAGGCGTTTAGCCATTTTAGCATTTTTTTCTTCCTATATTGAGCAATGTTCGTATTGTTTGATGAATACTATTCTTTAAACATCTTCTGTAATACTGGTGCCAGAAGTTCTCACCAAAATGCAAACTTAGTTCAAAAATTTGAAAACAAATTTTCAGTGCTCAAAATTTCTACATAAACAGTCATATTTATGCCAGAAAATGTGGTCCTAGTTAATGATTTCACCACAGGAAGTGTTGCCAGAAGACTTTTGTTTCATATGGTATCCACAAAACTACCAGTCTTATATAAAAAATTAGTTACAAAAACATTTACAAATTTGGCCATTCTGTGAGGCTAGCCATTCTGTGAGGCATTTACCCGTATAATTTATTTATCAAAAATCCAAATATGTTTACTTTAAACAGGCATTACTTTATAACCAGGCGTAAGATGCATAAGGTACAAATAAGTGTCACACGTGCAATATAAACTGGACCTCTCAGAGAAGGGTAAATGTAGGTGTGTAGGAATGTAGGGTTAATACGGTATTTTAAAGGTAGGATGAAAATCGAGGGTATCAGTAGCCAGTAAAACGATTTACGTTAATTTTCCTGCCCGTGTTCAATTGATCGAAGATAATTGCATCTGTTTGGTTACAAGTAATTTATTGTTTTGTAACGGCGTTTAAAATTCAATACTCTGATTTAAAGGGTAAATCGGATAACATAACAGGATCTCCAGTGTTAATCAGATAGCATGACAATATATTCAGATAACGTATTAGTGACAGCAGTGTTGCCCTGAGGTACGCCCTACAAGTGCATTGCGTTCGTTATCATATTAAACTCATTGATAATGATAACGATATTAAACTTTCCTTTCGAAATTATTTCCGACATTATCGACGTTATCTGTGTGTGGCCTAGAGTTTTGTAGGACTTCCTGCCCGTTCATAAGATTCGCCATGCCCGAGCTGGGATTGTTTGAGGGTTGGGTATTAAAAAGGGGGGGGGGGGGGGGGGGTAAATCTCCTACAGATTTGGATTATTATATAATGTATTTTAATGTATGTTAAGAACACTTTTAAATATCCCAATGCTCAAAAAAAAGTTGGAGAGGGTACTCTCCTTGTTTTTTTCTGTTATTATTAGAGTATTATCGACTGACAACCGCCTCCCCCACACAGGGTGATGGTCAGATTGGTGTATATTCCCTGCAGAATAGTTATCGTTTCTACCTAGCTTTCGGCGGAGTAACTTGTCAGACTATTCTGAAGTTCTGTTAAATTATACGTTCGATTATGAGTACTACAATAGACCCAATGTTGTTGTGCAAAAGTTGTATATATACCGGCGTATTCTAGAAAATATTTCCTTGTGTTCCAAGTCTGACAATCGTTCTATCGTTTATACTGCTCATTATGACATGTCGTGTATCTAAATATCATCTAGATAATACTCAAGATTTGGTTTCACTCTCAATTACCAGATGCTCGTCAACATACCTTATATTAGTAAACTTCTTGTCCTCGTGTAATTATTTTTATTGTGTCATAAAAACGTCTAAATGTATGACATGTGCTATGCTGCAATGTTTATTATAACATAATAACCTGTTGCATAATATTCAATATCATATTCAGTGTTTCATAGGAATATCATCACACAGTGCACAACTACTATGTTGTTTGCACTGAACAGTTTTGTATTATATTATGTATATTGTATTATAATTATCAGAGCTCTTTAGCCTAAATATTCTCAACTTATTGTTAGCCAAATCTTGTTAATGATACCAGTAAGAATGAACAATGAATTGTAATATAAAATTATCTCATTTATGTCACGTGTCATCATATATGCAATATTTTTTAGTAGTCTCATTGTGCAAAATGCAAGTTGACCAACGCTTCTTTTTTTTAATAATTTTGTGGAATTGATGTTTGTGTATTCAAAAATCATGATCGCAGTTCTTTTGAAATTCCAATTTGGAGGAATTAATTTGGTCACATTTACAAAGCACGGATGTTGTCCACTTTGAGGTTAAATTACACCCTTGAAGATGAATTCATAAGCATACAAGTTTGATGATGAACCACTTAAACAAATCCAATGATATTTTTTAATTTTTTAAAAAGGTTGGAGAGAATTCTTTTCTTGTTTGATTGATTTGTATTTAATGCTGACAGACGACCACCTCCCTCACATCTAGTGCATCATAAGTCATAACTATGGTTACTATGGTTACTATGGTAACTATTGTAACTATGGTAACTAAGCTATGGTAACTATGGTTACTATGGTTACTTAGGTTACTATAGTAACTGAACTCATTGATAACAATATTAAACTTTCCGTTCGAAATTATTTCCGACATTATCGATGTTATCGTGTGTGTGGCCTACAGTTTTGTAGGACTTCCTGCCCGTTTATAAGATTCGTCATGCCCGAGCTGGGAATGTTTGAGGGTTGGTTATTAAAAAAAGGGGGGGGGGGGTTAAATCCCTTGCAGATTTGGATTAAGATGGACCGCCTCCTCAGTAAGGTACACCTTAAGTACCCAGCTGCTCCAAAAGAAGGTGGAGAGAGTTCTCTCCTTGTACTTTGATATTGGAGAGAATTCTCTCCTTGTTTGTTCTGGTAGTATTTATATTATCACTGGCAACCAACTCCCTCACACCGAAGTGCTGAGATGGTCATATTGGTGGTATCTCTGCAGAATAGTACTGGTTTAAGCCTCCAGCCGGCTGTGTTGGACCCGGCTTTCGCCGGGCCAACGAGTTTAAGAGATTGTTTGGTTTACTATTCTGAAGTTGTTTTGCCCCGAAGGGCAATGTTAATGTGCAAAAGTTGGATATATACCGGCGTATTCTAGAAAATGTTTTCTTGTATTCCAAGTCTGACAATCGTATAATCGTTTGTACTGTTCATTATCACATGTCTTGTATTTAATTATCATCTAGATGTAATACTCAAGATTTGGTTTCAATTTCAACCACCAGATGCTCGTCAACATACCTTAGTAAACTTCTTGTCTTCGTGTAATTGTTTTTATTGTGTCATCAAAATGTCTAAATGTATGACAATGTGTTATGCTGCAATGTTCAATATACCATATAATAACCTGTTGCATAATACTCAATATCATATTCAGTGTTTCATAGGAATATCATCACACAGCGCCTAGCTACTATGTTGTTTGCACTGAACAGTTTTGTATTATATTTAAATGTATATTGTATAATTATCAGAGCTCTTTAGCCTAAATATTTTTTTAAAGCCTAACCAGTAAGAATGGACAATGAATTGTAATATATAATTATCTCATTTATGTCACTTGTCATCATTTATGCAATATTTTTTGGTTACTATGGTAATATAACTAAACTCATTGATAACAATATTAAACTTTCCTTTCGAAATTATTTCCGACAATATCGACGTTATCTGTGTGTGTGGCCTAGAGTTTTGTTGTACTTCCTGCCCGTTCATAAGATTCGTCATGCCGGAGCTGAGATTGTGTGAGCGTTGTGTTTTAAAAAGGGGGGGGGGGGATAAACCCCTTTCAGATTTGGATTGAGATGGACCACCCCCTTAGTAAGGTACACCTTAGGTACCCAGCTGCTCCAAAAGAAGGTGGAGAGAGTTCTCTCCTTGTACTTTGATATTGGAGAGAAGTTCTCTCCTTGTTTGTTCTGGTATTATTTATATTCTTGACTTGCAAACCAACTCCCTCACACCGAAGTGCTGAGATGGTCATATTGGTGATTTACCTGCAGAATAGTACTGACTTGCGCCGGGCCAATCAGTTAACGCCTTAAGTTTTACTATTCTGAAGTTCTGTCAAAGTCAATGTTGTGCCCCGAAAGTTGTATATATACCGGCGTATCATAGAAAATATTTTCTTGTATTCCAAGTCTGACAATCGTTCTATCGTTTGTACTGCTCATTATTACATGTCGTTTATTTAATTATCATCTAGATAATACTCAAGATTAGGTTTCACTCGTCAACACATCTTACAGCACGGCCCCGGTGTGTCTATACACATGGTATCCGAGTGACGTAGTCACGAGGTAATGTCACGTGGTATGACCCGTGATAGTTCTTTTAGAGGGCTGATACACCCTGGTGTATTAGTGT